CCAGGCCCCAAAGTTTGGAACATCACTTGGAACGAACACTGAGGAGCATAGCCTTCAGAGTCAACATGGCAATTGAAAATCACCTACAGCTTTGGCCCGAAATACCAGTTATAAGATGTTATAAGATGTTATAAGTACCTACAACCCCATTCATGGAATGTTATAAGTACTGATAACCCATGATAACACCATTTATGGATATTTATGAAAGGTATCTTATTTAAAACCAGGAATGTCTCTAATAGCCGTGGCCATAACTGTTCCAATCCCCTCCCTTCAGGCGCAGTCCAGAATACCTCACCACGGTGACAGCGAGGCGGAATCGGCTATCCTTTGTCCAAGAAACCAAGATTTTCCCAGATATATCTTGCGGAATCGACAAGGTGAATATGTTCCCCCCTAGTTATGTTGGTGTTTGTTAAAAATCCCCATGAACTAACTATAGTTATATCCCCCATCAACCCTAGATATTGGACTTATTTGCACCAACTTAGCGTTCATGAACTGGGACACCACCTTGTACACTAGATGTAGATATTCAATGTATATTTTATAATGGTGCCAATCTGTGCTTGTGCCAGGGATCGCACTCCTGCAGCTGTGCCTGTCCGAAGCCCAGATCATGGAAATGTGGAACAGTCGTCAATTGGTGGACATATACAGTCGTCCCCGAATTGATAAGTAAAAATGCAGCCGAAACAGTATATGTTTGCGGATATAGTTCAGGGGAAAACTACATATACCTATCTGGTTGGTGGTTTGGAACATTTTTTATTTTCCAATATATCGGATAATCCTTCCTATTGACTAATATTTGTCAAGATGGTTAAAACCACCAACCAGTACAACTATAACATTTCAAATTAAAGTATCATTTACAGTGATATGAATCAGATTCATGATAACATTGTTTTTCCATCGCCTACTTATTTTCCATTTTATGTCTAGTCTATATTGATTTATATGCCGATTCTTCTCCATTGTCCCATTGAATATCCATATTGCTGGTTGAAAAAAATCATTTTCTATCGCATTTCACAACCATTGTTATTTCTGTTTGGTTCGGGTTTCAGGTATGTAAATACCTAAATAAAGAAATATATATATATATATATTCTACATACCTAGACCCTGCACCTGCCACAAAACTTGGTAACTGTACTTGAGTTTTAGGGTAGCATGACATGTGTACTTGGACGTTCAAGGTATATATGTGTAAACCTATATATATATATGTTTCTATACTTGCGTACACACATACATACATACATACATACATACATACATACATACATACATACATACATACATACATACATACATACATACATACATGATCATACACACATGATCATACATACATACATACATGCATGCATGCATGCATACATACATACATACATGATCATACATACATGATCATACATACATGCATGCATGCATACATACATACATACATACCTACATACATACATACATACATGAGCATACATACATGAGCGTACATACATGATCGTACATACATGATTGTACATACATGATCGTACATACATGATCGTGATCGTACATACATGATCGTGATCGTACATACATGATTGTACATACATGATCGTACATACATGATCGTACATACATGATCGTACATACATGATCGTACATACATGATCTTACATACATGATCGTGCATACATACATTACATACATTACATACATTACATACATTACATACATTACATACATTACATACATTACATACATTACATCCATTACATACATTACATCCATTACATCCATTACATCCATTACATCCATTACATCCATTACATACATTACATACATTACATACATTACATACATTACATACATTACATACATTACATACGTTACATACATTACATACATTACATACATTACATACATTACATACATTACATACATTACATACATTACATACATTACATACATTACATACATTACATACATTACATACATTACATACATAACATACATTACATACATAACATACATAACATACATTACATACATTACATACATTACATACATTACATACATTACATACATTACTCGTAAAAATAAATACAGGTACACGATTAAAGTACCTACATTACATACATTACATACATTACATACATTACATACATTACATACATTACATACATTACATACATTACATACATTACATACATTACATTCATTACATTCATTACATACATTACATACATTACATACATTACATACATTACATACATTACATACATTACATACATTACATACATTACATACATTACACACATTACATACATTACATGCATTACATCCATTACATACATTACATACATTACATACATTACATACATTACATACATTACATACATTACATACATTACATACATTACATACATTACATACATTACATTACATTACATTACATTACATTACATTACATTACATTACATTACATTAATACATACATACATACATACATACATACATACATACATACGTACATACATACATACATACATACATACACACATACACACATACACACATACACACATACACACATACACACATACACACATACATACACATATACATATACCTACCTACCTACCTCCCTATCTACCTACCTACCTACAGACAGACAGGCAGACATACAGACACGAGACAGACAGACAGACACGAGACAGACAGACAGACAGACAGACAGACAGACAGCCAGGCAGGCAGACAGCCAGGCAGACAGACAGACATACATACATACATATATTCATACATACATACAGTATATTCATCATATTGAATATATTGATCTGGTTTTTTGACTCGCACCCAGAATCATGCTGACCCATTCAATCCGGTCTCAGTGAAGCATAAGCACTCATATTGGCAATCACAGGTGTTGCTTACATGGACTGGAAACCATACCCTCTCAATTAATACTGAGTTAGGTATCGGAAGTCTACCATACCGTATACCCTACAATTTGTGTTTGTTTTATTTCGGGACAAACATAGGGTATGTTTTGTTTTCCCTTACGCATTCCTAGTGGGACTCGTGTTTCAATTGATCTATCAGACAGCCAGCTGTGCCGAGTTCGATGTGAAGAAAAACTCCGATACCGCCTTTTCGTACGAATTCAGCTGGGTGCGGCACCTAAAATGTTGGTGAACCAGGCAGATTAGACATGGCTGGGGTAACCTTGGTGAATGGTAGGTGTTATTTGTGTTTCCATTTTGCTCATAGACTTGGCAAACCAGGTTTTTAACGATATGTAAAATGTCGCATTCGTAGCCCTGCCAGGGCCATTTTGGATTGATGTGTTTTGTTTTTGTGTTTCATTTTCATCCAGTACCATCCAGTACCGTCATGAATTTGCCATGTTGTATTTTTTTGGGATTTGAATTGAGTCACCATTATTTTCTGGTTGGTGGTTTCAACCATTTTTTATTTTCCATAATATATGGGATCATCCTTCCCATTGACTAATATTTCCAAGATGGTTATTGCACCACCAACCAGTTTTCATGTGGTTAATTTCCAGTACCATCCAGTACCTATGAATGGATAAGGGCCACCAATTTTTGCCGAGACGTGGTTTAGGGGTTTCTTGACGCGGGAATTACATTTGGTTGATAGGAAAACAGACGTTCCAATAGCATGTCAAATTGTGAAGGTAACACTGGAACCGATGGAGACTAGACATGCTGCTGGTTTTCATGTTCAAGTGTTCAACTCCAGGAACAACGTGGAATTTTATAGATTATTTCCTAAATGGGAGTTTCTTCAAATGGAAGATCTCCAAACCATGGCTTTCGATGCTTAGATGGTTTAATATTATATAGATTTGGGGATAGCCCATTTTAGGACACCCAATCTAGTTTTGTTTTCCAGATTGCCCCCCAGTTATAAGTTGTGTTACAACCCCATCTAAATATACGTATGAATATCATACACTTGCTATGAAATGTTATAAAACAACTTAGCTAACGAACTTTTTTTGCTCATCCTGTAGTGGAAGACATGGAAAACACAACAAAGCTCCACTTTCACTGCGGAGGAACCCGGGACCAGCTATGACTGTGTCTTCCTTCGCTGGGAAGTGCAGCTGCGGTCGATCAACGACACCAACAGCTGGGGCGCCAAGCTGGTGAAGCGCCCAATGAGCCAAAGCTGAAATAAAGGGTGTTATTCTACCTGGTAAACTCTTACATAACTATGCAAAAGCACCATTTTTACATACATATTTTGTTTCTAGGTAAATCAACCATTTCGATGGTAATTTTCAATAGCTTTTTGTATGTTTACCGGGTATTCTACCAAGTTTGGCCGTGTAGTGGGGATATAACTTATAACATCTTAGAACCAGAAATGATCAGCAAACAGTGGTGAGCAAGTGGGGTTGAGAACCCTCCGGCAACAAGACCGTTGGGACGGTAACCGCCTCGCCTGTGCACGTGATTTCGGCTCGCTGGTGCACGTGATGGCCGGACTCGCCTGTGCACGGGATGCACCTTCATTCATGATATTCATCATCATTCATCATCATCATCATCATCATCATCACCATTATCACCATCATCATGCTCATCAACACCGTCATGGTCGACGTGATCATCCGCATCTTCTTCTTCTTCTTCTTCATCTTCATCATCATCATCATCACCATCATCATGCTCATCAACACTGTCATGGTCGACGTGATCATCAGCATCTTCTTCTTCTGCTTCTTCTTCTTCTTCACCATCATCATCACCGTCATCATGCTCATCAACACCGTCATGGTCGACGTGATCATCCGCATCTTCTTCTTCTTCTTATTCTTCTTCTTCTTCATCTTCATCATCATCATCACCATCATCATGCTCATCAACACTGTCATGGTCGACGTGATCATCAGCATCTTCTTCTTCTTCTTCTGCTTCTTCTTCTTCTTCACCATCATCATCACCGTCATCATGCTCATCAACACCGTCATGGTCGACGTGATCATCCGCATCTTCTTCTTCTTCATCATCATCACCATCACCATCATCATGCTCATCAGCACTGTCATGGTCGACGTTTGTCGTCAGCATCATCACCATGATCATCATGATCATCATCATCATCATCATCATCAGAATCATGTAATCATAATCATCTTCGTCATCAGCATCATCATGCACACTGGTGGTACGTGTAAAATGTTGTTTGTGTGATAACTTCTGTGGGTAACAGCTGCTGTGTGTAAAAGCTCGTGTGTGTAACAGCTTCTGTGTGTAAAAGCGTCTGTGTGTTCCCCTGTTCCCCTGTTCCCCCCCTCTTCCCCTGTATGTAAAAGCTTGCCGTGTGTAAAAGCGTCTGTGTGTAGCAGATGATGATGCGTGTAAAAATTTGTGTGTGTACCAGCATCTGTGTGTAAAAGCGTCCGTGTGTGACAGCTTGTGTGTGTAAGATCTTTTGTGTGTAGAAGCGTGTGTGTGTGTGTCATCTCCCTTGGTGTTCCCCGTTTCCCCTGTTCCCCCCTGTTGCCCTGTTGCCCTGTTCCCCCCCTGTTCCCCTAATTTATAAACCTAAAGGTTGGTTTGTTCCCTGCTACCCCTGTTCCCCTGTTCCCCCCCCCTCTGTTCCCCTAATTTATAAACCTAAAGGTTGGTTTGTTCCTTGCTACCCCTGTTCCCCTGTTCCCCCCCTGTCCCCTAATTTATAAACCTAAAGGTTGGTTTCTCCCTTGCTACCCCTGTTCCCTTTTCCCCCCCCTGTTCCCCTAATTTATAAACCTAAAGGTTGGTTTCTCCCTTGCTACCCTTGTTCCCCTGTTCCCTTTTCCCCCCCCTGTTCCCCTAATTTATAAACCTAAAGGTTGGTTTCTCCCTTGCTACCCCTGTTCCCTGTTCCCCTGTCCCCCCCCTGTTCCCCTAATTTATAAACCTAAAGGTTGGTTTCTCCCTTGCTACCCCTGTTCCCCTGTTCCCTTTTCCCCCCCCTGTTCCCCTAATTTATAAACCTAAAGGTTGGTTTCTCCCTTGCTACCCTTGTTCCCCTGTCCCCCCCTGTTCCCCTAATTTATAAACCTAAAGGTTGGTTTCTCCCTTGCTACCCCTGTTCCCCTGTTCCCCTGTTCCCCCCCTGTTCCCCTAATTTATAAACCTAAAGGTTGGTTTCTCCCTTGCTACCCCTGTTCCCCTGTTCCCCCCCTGTTCCCCTAATTTATAAACCTAAAGGTTGGTTTCTCCCTTGCTACCCCTGTTCCCCTGTTCCCCCCCCTGTTCCCCTAAGTTATAAACCTAAAGGTTGGCTTCTCCCTTGCTCCCCTGGTCCCCTGTTCCCCTGTTCCCCCCCTGTTCCCCTAATTTATAAACCTAAAGGTTGGTTTCTCCCTTGCAACCCCTGTTCCCCTGTTCCCCCCCCTGTTCCCCTAATTTATAAACCTAAAGGTTGGTTTCTCCCTTTCTAAGTGTCTTGTGCGCAGGTGAGTCTGGATCTTGTGCGGGTGAGTCTGGATCCTGTGCGCAGGTGAGTCTGTGATCAAGTGCGCAGGTGAGTCACTTTCAAGTGCGCCGGTGACAAGAACAGGATGAAAGTAGGAATTGGACCATATCGATGATACCTATACATATATATATATATAATATGTATATGGTAGTATATGCTAATGGAATATAGAGATTGGGATAATGATTGGGATAACGATCAGTCGCAATGCATCATATACAAAGATCACGATGTTTTTTCAGCGATGTCGTTTGTTTTTTAATGAATTTATCTTCCAGAATTCAGAGCATTAGCCCCTCAGAAAACCGGTGCCTGGGTCATCCATTTGGATCGTCTCCAGGGATTTTTCTTGGGAAAATAATGTTAGCAAAGCGGCAAACCCTGTGTCTTTTTAACCACCAAAGATTCCTGGGTAAATTTTAACGACCTCACTGCGACCTCACTGTAATCTAAAGAGTGAAGCTTAAGGGGGTCACGGGTCACTTATATTTTAGTTACTAAATAATACAGACATATATATATATATATTAGATTGTATCAATACACCGTTTTTTTTTTTGCAACATTGTCAGCACCGGTAACTGAATGCCCCATTCTTGCTATATGGCAGGCAGTGCTGCAGCTTATGGAGATGGCAGAATCGAAGACATCCGCTCACGTGCGCAGCTCATGGTGGTGCTCATTGTTTCAACCAACCATCGTTCTTAACCAACCAACGGTCAGGAGCGTAGCAACGAGCTTTTGTTTGTTTTTGTTATTATTAATTATTATTATGATGTTGTGTTGTTCTTTTATGATATCACAGATTGGCATAGATTAGCCATGTTTGTGGTCGTGAAATGAGGGTTGATGTCCATGATTCGGTTTCATTTAAGGGTAAACTGTGCCAGAGAGATGTGTTCCAGATGGGAACATCGACCGGCAAGATGTTTTTGTTGTTGGTTGCAAGAGTTGCTGGCTGGAAATTTTTGTATATCTTTGTGGGAAAATGAGATAGGGACCAGTTCTCTCACCCGCAGGATGATGAGGAATATCCACAACTACCACCCATATGCTCAATGTATGGTATATTTACCTACAAAACTGCGTGTTTTTTGGGCAAATGTTGGTAAATGTTACATGGAGCATATGGGCCAGCTACTTGACCCAGAATTGCGAGTATCTTGTAATAAACAGAGACTGAAGGTTTACCCTCTGATTATTTGTCACATAGCCATGGTATAGGTGGCCCATAGAAATAGATGGTTTACCTGTTTACCGTTCTTAAAAATGGGTGGATCTTTCCATGGCGAACTGTTAGACTGTTAGTCATATCTATAGATGGTAAACCCATGTACAATCCACAGTACAGTCCCGAGGTGGTGAAACATCAACCAGGGGCTAGATACGAAAAGCAGGGTACAGCAGCCGGAGGTGGGACCCGAAAAGGGTCCAGCTCTCGACATCCTCTGATGTCCGAAGAATGTGGCGGTGGAGCTCTTCGGGGCGATGGTCGTAGGGGAGGATCAGAGCCCCCCGGAAAAACTACGACATCAATCTTCGTGTACCTGGCCACTGAGATTTCAATTGGGTGATTTCAGCTGACTGGGTGTTGAAGACTGCCCAGCAAGCAAACATGGCGAAACTTTTTTCGGATGTTTTGTCTCAGGAAAATCATGGAAAATCATCGTTCTAAATGGGTGACATTCCACTGCCATGTTTGGTTACCGGAGGGTAGTGACTATACCTGGAGAGCAACCGACACCTGAAACACCTGGAGAACTTGGTCATGAATGTTCATGCTCTTGGGGGATACTTGATGCAGAAGGCTCGTAGCTTGAAATGGTTCATATATGGTTCATATATTAAACAAAGGTTTTCTAGTGAATTTATGTGAATTGAAGCTAAAACCAACACACAGGTTTTGCTTGGACTAGACTCTTTGTTGATTTATCTATTGTGTACTTTCTCTTAGGGCAGAACTTTAAACTCAGGAAGAAAATAGGAAACTACTATGATTTCCAAAATTATATAATATATTTATATATATATATATATAGGAAGTATATATATATATCCTATTTTCATATACATATAATATGATATATAATATTTGATATCATATAACTCGACGGAAACTCGACGTGAACTTCAGGGCTGTTAGGGCCTGATCCGGTCCCCATTGGGTATTGGCGCTTTGGGTACCGCTGCCGATAACTTGCATCAAGCTCCACCCAAGGAACTAGTCAAGT